TTGCAAATAGTAGAGTATTCGTTCAAGATTTATTATTTCCATCCCTGAAGTGGTATGATTTAGAGCTCTAGATAGTTGGCTACCGATCAAGGTGAGCAGCTTGATGCTCGCTCGATACTCGTTCGTTGCTCAAATGTTTGTTTAAGAAATTTTCAATTTCCAATATATGTAGTTCGTCAAAGTTAAATTAACGTCTCAAAGAGTTTTTCACTTTGAATAAATCAATTGAAATGAATTTCTGAGAATAAAATAAAATTTAATTGCTCAAAATGCAGAAAGTTCGAATTGCTCAAGTTGCTGCTTGAAAATTTACGAGCAATCAGCAATGAGCGTGTTTCTGAGTACGCGGTGCTCAAATGTGGAAGCTACTCGAAAATGTTCGAATAAAATATTGAGGCATAATTATAATGCAGAGACTTAATGTCAGAGCTTGGTATATTTATTTGAGTTGAGTACCCATGAAGCGACTTTCATTACTTCAATTAGTACAGTTAGAGAAATGCTGCGTTGGTCGGAAAGTCTCTTGCTCATGCCGTTTCCAGTGGTTCGGTATGAACTCCGTTGCCAACTCTGCCATCGAGCTTGTGTAAAATACAATGAATGGAGAGCAACTTGTTATGGTTTGTAACAGAAAATATTTATTTTACAACTCCCTGAATACCAATGACCTTCACTGGAGTAAAATTTAGGATTTTCCTAAGGTTCAACAGTAAGGTTTAAAGCACAATAAGAGGAGAATCAAAGAAAATTCAAAGTCATAATTTTGTGCTTAACTTCAAATTTTTAATATTCACGCGCATATAGAATCAGAAATCCAGTGTACGACTCTGTCAAAACCTTAACATCGTGCAATTCAAATATTTAAGAATTCAAACATTTTATCAAGCAAAAATTTTAAAATATTTTGAAAGTCATTTTCAATTGATTTCGTGCGAAAATATATGTTAGATAAATATAGAATTATTCTTTTCTTTAATAATTTTCGGTTCGTTTGTTCTTTATAAGAAAATTATATTTACATACATATATAAATAAAAACCGAAAATTTTTTGTTATATATTAAATAAAAATAGAATAATTTGAATAAAAAAATAGTTAGCATCATATGTATATAGAAATGAACTACTGTCTTAAACATCTCGCTAAAACTGCAGGACGTCTAACCGATTTGGCGAACTTTGACCTTGAAATATTTGTGGAAGTTGAAGAAAAGTTTTTTTTTTGTGTAATTTAACTGAACCAACGTTAAACTGCTTGAAAGCTGAAGAAAAATTGAAAGGCTGACAACTTACGAAAAGTTAGCCTGGAATCGATTTATTCTATTTACCTGAAAATATTTTCATTCCAGTACTAAATAAACATCTCTTGGAAAAATTAAATGTTTATTAAAATTATTTTTATGGTTAAAATTTGTTAAATTTTTATATGAAGATGTCTCTAGGTTAGGTTATGTTTAACTCTAGTTGTCTCCGTAGAGAGACTCACATAAACCATGCTACGTTCATAGGGTTACCAGATGAGCTACACTACACTATATACAATCAAGATAATGTCCGGGTACACTTCCTGTTGTGGCTCTAGTCTAAAGAACATTGGTGGTTAGCAAAATGAAGCAGCTATTTTGGACCTTTCGGCATGTTTATTTCTAGACAAATGTTTGCAGTATTTTTATTGATCGGAAATGTGCCTGGATGAATTTGTTTGAAATTTAGTGCATTTGCAGCTTTTTGCTTCAGTTAAACGGACACTGATCAACAAGAAAGAATTAATAAACGGAATGGCGTAAGAATCCTAGAAATTTGTTTAAGAAATAGTGGAAGATTTTCCATGAAATTACAGCATTCCAAATTATGAGAAAATTGTGGAGCAAATGCGAATCTCGGCATTAGAATTCATATCCTTGTTTCGGAGTTGAAGGTGAAGAGCAAGATTATGGATTTCAGCTAAAGTTGTAGTGGCTGGGAAGTCACTAACAGGTTAAAGACGCTTAGCTTTATTGGAAACATCATGTCATCACTCAAATTATTAAAATTTCCAATTTATTTACTACTGTCACTCAGGTGTACTATTTTTAATCTTTTAAAATCGTGATATTTTTTTATTTTTTTTTTAATGGAAATAATAATACACCGTTTTTGAAAATTACAATATGCCTAAATCCATAAAAAAAATTAAAAAAGAGTTCAGAAATAATTATTTTAAAATTTTTTTACAATCCTACATGCTAAAAAATCGAAAAAAAAAATAAAATTTTGAGCATTAACCGCTGTTTGTAAAGTATCTTATGAGTCGTTAAAGTTTTTTTTTTTTATTTTTTTTAAGTAATTTCGTGTACGTGAATTTAGAGCAATCGCTTTAGAAGTTTCTGAGAAAAAAATTGGTTTTTGATGTTGCTAAAATTTTAATTTTTCGAAAAGGGTATTTATTGCCATTTAAGTGTTCATGAAAGTGTAGTATCCAAATATTTTATTTGTACCAATATGCGTAGAAATTATGATTATAATTTATTTATTAAAAAAAAAAAAAATAGAAAAACACATACATACAAATATATTCGTTTTACTACGAGAATTTGTTTTTCTAAACTTTTTTTCAAAACATAGTATTTTAATTATAAGCTAAAACTATGACACATACACATAACATACTTGGTTAGTTATATATGTTTCCAAGAATTGAAAATACGTTTGTATAAAATTAGCACTTGCTCATACAAAACAAAATTTCATACACAAAAAAAATAAATATATATTTTACTTATATACATAAATACACATGTAGGTGTGTATGTATGCGTTTGCGTACAAACACATAAATTAAAAGCACTTTAAATTTTCAATGAAAGATAAAAGAGTAGATATCTACACATTAAAATGCTTGAAGCACAGGGCTTGAGTACTTTAAGTGGAAGAAGAACAAGCTATAAATGAAAAAAAAAAATTGAAAATAAAAAAATAAAATATAAGTAAATTTAAACAAAATGGCGTCAAGCATACATGAAGATACAGTAAAGCTAAAGTACTTAAAAAGTACACACACATACACAATCATAGCGCATATACAATATATGTATATGTACAAAAGTATGTACATTCGTATACCAACATTTATACAATTGTGAAATTGCAATTGCTAAATGATAAGTAAGAAGAAGATAAAAGTATAAATCGAAATCGAAATGTGAACGCCCCACCAATACAGCAGTCGCTACAAGCGCGCATATGCTTAAATACGTACATATTTATGTATGTAAGAATTTATTTTTGTATTTATATATGTATAACTACATAAGTACAATACATATACATCGCCGCAGATAAGCAATTTAATAAATAAATAAGCGTATAGAAAAAAAAGAAGCCAAATGCGGAAATAAAGCACTGCGGCAGAGCGGAGCTCATCAAAATGCACTGTAGCAGCAAGCGGCAGCGTGAAAGTAGCAACAACAGCAGCAGTAACAAATATAATAATATAAAACAGCATCTACGAGTATAATAAATAACAAAGCATTGTTGCAATGTTTGCTTATGCTTTCGCCTTACTGGCAAAGCGCTCAGTACTTTATGAACCTCCAGATCACCCTCCCATCCTTCCTTCACCACTCATCAGGCGATTTTTTGTATTATTCTTACAATACTTTTATTTGTTTGTTTGTTTGTTTATTTCTTGCTTCTGCAAAAATTTTATTTATTCGGCACAAGTTGACAGCGAATTTCTCTCTCCCTTTTGTTTTTCGCCGCTAAAAAGTTGCTTCTTCTACGCCCTCACTCTCCTCACTCCCTCTTCTAGTATACGCCACCATAATGTAACAGTAATAAATTATACAGTTGCCATTTTGTTTTCTGCTTCTGCAATTCCATTTGCGTCTGTTTGCTTTCTTTATTTACTATTTATTTCTACTTCGGTCTGTCTTCATTGTTGCACAATTGTATTCTATTTTCTTGTTTTTATTTGTCTTTTGTTGTTGTTGTTGTTTTTATTGTTTGCATTTTATATGCATGTTTGCTTTGTTTTTTTTTTTTCTTTCTTTCACTTTTCTGCTCAGCAGTGTTTGGAAATAAAATTTTGATTTATTTTACTACGACATGACTTGCTGAATACCCCCAACCGCATTCGCTTACTCGTAACACGGAAGTTCAGCTTTCATGGCAGCTCTTAGGGTTGGCTTGATACACGCGCAATCCGCTGAACCGAACACCCACAAGTAAACCACACACACATACACACAAACACTGCCATTTACGGCTTGCCGAGTTTCACTAAACTCCCGCCCACTCTGCCCACTTTCTCAATACCTGCTTTATTTTATTATATATGTATGTACATACATATTTATATAAACACTTTTTTCTCTCTGTATTGAAAAAAGCAACAAGAATACATTTACTGGTATTCGTATTTATAATTACTGCACATGCGTACTTTATAGCAGCTCCATAAGCCGTTGTTAAGAGTTGAAGTGGTTTGTGGTGTGGGCGAGGCGAGTTATGGCCGCTAAGTGTGTGTGTGTGTGTGTGTTGGTGTGCGCCATTAGGAAATCTCTTTGCGTGCCAAACAATTGTATTTATTTATATATCCAACTGTGTGTTTGTCTTTCTCTCATATTTTTTGTATGCATATATATCAATTTGTATGTGTATGTGTGTGTGTATGTGCCTTTTAAATGAATTGAGGGTAGTATTTTAAACAATAAATATGGTTTGCAGACAGAAAACATAAATTTGCTGTCACTGTGCAAAAAGTTTATAAAAATAGAAAAATACATCATCAGTGCTTTCCTATATTTTCTTTTATTTTTATTTGTATTTTTTGCTTATTTAATTTTAAGTTTGAAATATTGCAGAGTTTTAAGGAAATTGAAGTTGCCTTGACATGCCATGTAGCGAAGTATTTACGAAGTAACCAAAGCAACTCAATTTTTCTTTGCATTTATTTTCTTCGATTTTGAAAAAAAAAAAATTTTTTCTTGTATTTACGTGAAAACATACATATCATATAGTATATATTTTGTGGTTCTGTTTTTAACAACTTCAATTTGCATCTAAACACATTGAAAGTTTTATCGAAAATAGCAAGGAAAATAGAAAATATATTTATTTTATTAATAAAATAATAAAAAAATTGCCATAATATTCCCTTTTCCTATTTGGAGCAAATCTCTTAATTCTTAGATACTATTATCTCCTAAAAGAAAAGGTAATTTTATAGGAATTTTTATTTTTTGATTTAACAATAATACAAATATATCTTACATATTGTGGCGAAAAAAGGAATGTGAGGTGTGAAGGACGACAGACTGCCTCCCTATAGAGGTCGTGTATCGCATGTGCCTTATCGAGAACATTCAAACAAAAACTACCGTAGATTCATGAGAGAAATTGTTAGAAATTTAAGAGCAGCAGCAGACACCGCAGAAGTTTAATTGAGTTTAGAACTTGGTAGCGATGGCAACAGTAAAGAGGAGTAATCTGTGTGTTTACAATAAAGTAGCTGAACAACAAAAGATCTTTATTTAACAATCCAGTGATCCCACTCGAAGCCTTTGGAAGTTCATAGAGACTTACTTAGCGAAAATTGAGACCAACCAGTTTCCGGAAAATGTTTAATCTTCAGCAATATTTATTTTGTCGCCTTCAAAATATGCTCCTTTTGAAGCCATACACATATGCCAACTTTTTTTTCCAATCATAGAAACATGACTTCTAGGCACTGTCCGGGAACTGCCGTCAGTTTCTTCGGCGAATTTTCTTTTACTGCCTCAATGGAGTATAAACGGGTTCCACGGAGTGGTAACTTGAGTTTTGGAACCAAAAAAAGTCGCATGAGCCCAAATCCGGCGAATGCCGTGGTTGATCGATGGTGTTGAAGGAGTTTTTGGTCTTAAAATCGTTCACAACTACAGCTCGGTGCGATGGTAAATTCTTGGCCCACGTGCATATGTAAGTAGAGTTCTGCTGAGAAAGGCAGGGTAGTGTACCAGGCAATGCCATATTCTGAAAAGTCCAATTTATAGTTCTTTTTTCTAGACATTCATTTTTTAACGAAGTGGATCTATTTAAAAAAAATGTTTAATATACATATATTTATGGTACGATTTTGTTAAATTTTAAAATTAAATGCTTTTGCTTCTCGGATATGGCGAGTTAGAAGGTTCTCTTATAAAGAATGTACCAAAATCAACGTAAGAAATAATAAGACGTAATGTAATAGTATATATAATGGTCATTATGTGTTTATGACTCATTGAAAAATCATAAACTGAAGATTTAAAGCTTTGTTTTCTATTTCATTCAAATCTTGCGTTAATTTTGAGATCAACTCTATTGGCAACATGCATATGTAACTCCGAATGCAGGCCTACAAAAACTTGGAATTGCAGATCAAAATAAAAAAAACACGATTGGGTTGATTTAAAAATCTCGGACAACAATCTGAGCCTACCGAATTCTCTTTTATAATTCTGTCTATGGGTTGGTAGAGACCGAAAAAATCACTGCCCCAAAAAAAACTTTGGGGTCTCCTCATAATGTTTGATATTAGACGAATTATGGCTGACTCACAATTCATCACAATCATGACGTAAACTCAAAGGCATCCATCTCGTGGCCTTTGTTCTTAAATTATTTAGGCAACAACTGAGACCAAAACCGCAGATGGGAAAAAATACCTAGGAATGTGTAGCACCTCACTGGTGAGGCGAGGCCGCTTTGGAAGAAATAATATTAAATATGTAAATATTAGCCGGGAAAATAAAAGAGAAAATGGAAGATGACAGAATTGTTTTATTTGCATTCAAATTTTTAGAAAATGATTTTCAAACGTATATTTAATTTTTGATTAACAAATAACTTAACATTTCAAATATTTGACGTTTTTCATACTGACTTTACCAAGTTAGCAATTGATTATACTTTAAAAGTAAGACTAAAGCCAACTAAATTTGTTTTTCAATTAAAAAGTACACCTTGACCTAGACGGTTAAATAAAATAATATTTGTATTTTTAACACATCCAACTTACTGGACATTAAATTAAATTTGCTTTACACTGATAACTCGTTGCATATTTCTTACAATTCTATGTTATTGATTTTAATTTATTTAATATTTAAAAGTCGATAAATGTGATTAATCGAAATATATGTAGGTACCGTAAATTTTTGCAAATAAAGAAATAATTTTTTTTTTTGTAAATAAACCAACTATTGTTGAATGAATTTTGCAATCTTTGGTTGGCGTTGTACCATAAGCAATACATAAATATGAAATTATATTGCATATTCTTGTATACCTTAATACACTCAAATAAGCACATAATAGTTAAGTCATTTCCGCTTAGAAACTAAATTTCTAAAATCAATTGCCAAATCATTCATAAAAAGGAGGGTATAAAATGTAGACGCGTGTGTCTAATTAAACCATTCATTAATAAATATTTGATAATCCAGGAAATCGACATATAAATATTTTTTCAGCAAATAAATGAGTGAATGAAAATTCATTGTTTCGAATAAATCCCTGATTGATGTTAAGATTTTAAGAAGTGTTGAGTGTGTGACTTCATAGGAACACATAAAATAAACAAAAATAAAACAAATAAATAATATGAAAACATTTTATTTAAATTAAACTAAATTAATTTCAGTAGAATAAAATAAAACAAATTTAAAAAAATAATTAAAAAATATATAATAAAAAAGAATAAATAAATAAAAATAAAAAAAGGACAATAGAATTAAATTAAATGAAATTTAATTAATGAATTAAAATAAAAAATAAACAAAATAAAATAAATAAAATAAATTAAATTCAGTTAAATGAAACAAAATAAATAGAATAACATACATTTTCTGTAAATTAAATTAAATTTTATAAAATAAAATTAAATAAATTAAAACGCAATTGAAAAAATTAAGAAAAACAATAAAAATAAATTAAAATAAAAAACTTAAATAAATAAAACCCAATAAAATAAAATAAAATGAAATGAAATAAAATAAAATAAAATAAAATAAAATAAAATAAAATAAAATAAAATAAAATAAAATAAAATAAAATAAAATAAAATAAAATAAAATGAAATGAAATGAAATAAAATAAAATAAAATAAAATAAAATAAAATAAAATAAATTTAAATAAAATAAATTAAAATAAAATGAAATAAAATAAAATAAAATGAAATAAAACAAAAAATTTAATTAAACTAACTTTTAAATAGATCAAAATAAATAACATAATATACATTTTAAATATAATTTATTAAAACAAAATGAAGTAAAATACATTAAAATTTAAAAAAAAAAATAATAAAAATAAGTTAAAATAAAAATAAATAAAATAAAACACAAAAAATAAAATATAATTAAAAAAATTAATTAAATAAAATAAAATACAATAAACAAATATAAATTGCAATAAAATACAATAAAATAAAATAAATAAATTAAATTAATTTAACTTAAATTAAATTAAATAAAATAAATATTGATAATAAAATCCATTCTATTAAAATTTAATTACATTGTATAAAATGATAGAATTTAAAACAAAATAATATTAATATATTAAAATAAAAAAAAAAAAATTAATAAAATACAATAAAATCAAGAAAAACAATAATTAAAAGCTTTGAAAAAATAAAAATAAATAGAATAAAATAATAAATAGAATAAAATAAAATAAAATAAATAAAATTAAAAATAAATAAAATAAAATACATTAAATTAAAAGTAAATTAAATGAAGCATAAAAAATAAATTTGAATTAAAGTGAATTAATATAAAATAAAGTGAAATAAAAAAATAAAAAATAAATAAAGTAAATCAAAACAAATAAGTTACATAAACTTAAATTAAATTCAACAAAATAAATTAAACTGAATATGTAAACTAAACCAAAATAAAAAAATTATATCCAAAAAAAAAATATCAAAAAAAATAAAATTAAATGAAATTAAATTAAATAAAATAAAGTGAATAAAATTAAATACAATAATATGAAAAAAATAAAACAAAAAAATAGAATAAAGTAAATTAAATAAAACAAAATAAGTAATATAAATTAAATTAAAATAAACTAATATAAAATGAAATAAAATAAAATAAAAATTAAATTATAAAATTTTGCCTCTCTTTATCTGCTCAAAGAAATCTACAATTGGAATATCCCATGATTTAATGCTAATTTAAACTAATTTTCCTTTCTTAAAAACTAAAAATTTCCAATTCTTGCTCATTTCTTGCAGGTGTGGTTCAAAAATCGTCGCGCCAAATGGCGTAAGCGTGAACGTAACGCAATGAATGCCGCCGTCGCAGCCGCCGACTTCAAATCCGGCTTCGGCTCACAATTTATGCAACCATTCGCCGATGACTCGCTCTATTCGTCATATCCCTATAATAACTGGACTAAAGTACCATCACCGTTGGGCACGAAACCCTTCCCCTGGCCCGTTAATCCGCTCGGCTCCATGGTAACCACCAATCATCATCAAAATTCGGTAAATTGTTTCAACACCGGCGCCAGCGGAGTTGCGGTTAGCATGAACAATTCAATGTTGCCCGGCACAATGGGCTCCACATTGACCAACACGAATGTCGGCGCCGCACCATGTCCCTACACCACGCCTGCCAATCCGTATATGTATCGTGCCGCCGCCGAACCCTGCATGACGTCCAGTATGTCATCGAGTATTGCCACACTACGCCTGAAGGCCAAACAACACACCACCGGCTTTGCCAGTCCCTATTCGGCCCCATCGCCAGTGTCACGCTCCAATTCAGCGGGTCTGTCAGCTTGTCAATATACCGGCGTTACGGATGTTGTTTGAGAAAACGCCCTTGGGGCGCTACTCAATCAACATCAACATCATTTGCATCACTTCTCCACGAGCGGTGGTGGTAGTGGTGGTGGTGGTGGTGGCATGTCCTCACACTCACCAAATATCAACAATAATTTACATCATTTGCACAACAATAATAATAACAACAATCTGTTGAACAACAATCATCTGCTGCTCGATCATAATGGTGAGCTGAGTGTGGGCGGTTTGGTGGGTAACGGTACACACAATAACAAATCGCCGCTTGGACATCAACACAGTGATATGGGAGATGCTGGAGGCGGCGGCAGAGGCGGCAACGGTGGTGCTGGTGGTGGTGGTGGCTCAAATGGCTTGTTGGGGCAGAATGTGAATAATGATGGCGGTGAAGAAGTGGAGGAGGTGATTGACTAAAGCTGACGGTTGTCGGTTAATAACTTGGGTAGAGTTACTATATAATGCGTGTAAAAAGAAATAAATAAATAAAATTAAAGAAAAAAAATATTAAGAGCAGAAATGCACCTTTGCAAGTGCATGAAAATTATTAAAAAAAAAAAAAAAAAAAATTTGTTACAATAATTGTAAAATATTAATTAATTAAACTACAAACAGACGTTTAGTATTAAGTAATTGAATTAATTGTAGTTAAACCTGCGAACATTTGTATTTGAATATAAATATAAAAAATAAATAAAATGTTTATTAAAAAAATATCCAAAGAACAATAACTATTTTTAAATTCAGACAATGTGTTGGTTAATATATTTAAATATGTTAAGTCAGAGCGTAAGCCAACGAAATATTTCATTTGAAAAAATTTTAAGAAAAAATAATTGAAGGAAAAAATAACTGTTGAGAGTTCAAGTTATGCTCTATTCAACTGAATTAAGAGATTTTAAACTTATATTTTGTTCAAATTGTTTTTTAACTTATACTTAAATGTTTAATTACATATCTGCCTTCCTTTTCCACAACTTCTATTAAAAAAAGCAAAAAAAAAAACAAAAAATTAAAACAGAGCAACCAAGAAAAAAGCGAAAACTAGTTTTAAGCAAATCCTATAAGAAAATAATCAATCAAATTAGCAAACACATATGCATATGATATAAATTATTGTAAATTAAATTGTAATATTAAATTTAAATAAAACAAATACCAAACTATATCAGCAACAGTTTTTAAGAAGTTGTCTAGTCGTGTAACTGAAACAAAAACAAAACTTAAATGATGAACACAAACAGCTAAGCACATCATAACAGTAAATAAATATAAATAAATAATAAATATTAAAAAAAAATCTATAATAAGTAATAAATCTGAAAGTGAACAATAAAAAAAATTGGATTGAATATTTTTAAATGGTTTTAATTTTTTTTTGCGAAAAAAGAGAGCAAAAAATCGCTGAAAACTTATACACATTTGGTATTGAAAATTTATTTGTGTATCTTTCAAACCACTAGATTTGTAGTGGAATTCACTAACTTTTATCGATTATGCGATTCACCAACTCATTCTTAACGATACTAGACGGCTGACTGATGATGGAGCAATAGCCGAGTGGTTAGCATTGCGCCGTGCCAATCGATTGCCAATCGAGCTACAAAATTATAGAAAATAATTTTTTTTAGAGCGGTCGCTTCTCGGCAGGAAATGTAAAGGCCTCCGCATGATTATCTGACATGAAATAAGAGCTCCCTAAAAATCCATCGCCAATTTGGAGGCGGAGTAAAATAAAATGTGGGAAAAATATCATGACAAACATCACCAATTGGAAGAGAATATTCACTGAAAACCTATAAGCATTTGCTAATAAAAATTTGTTTCTGTATCTAATAACATAATAATGCGTGTCTTCAGAGACGCCGCACGGAGCGCACAGAAGACGACGATATTGCTGCTGAAGAACACCCGATTGAGTCTATCCACTTTATGGAAGTTTATGCATAAGGATCTTTGCAACTCGCTCATTGCTTGCGTCACACGTTCGATGAATCTCACCTTTGGATGAAAAAAAAAATTGTGGCGGAGTTACATCCGCACCAAAGTCTGTGTTTACTGCGCTCTACGGAAAGAACTATAAGTAAAGACTTTTTCCTGCCTGAATTTTGACATAGATGACCTTTGGTCTCAACAAGAGGGCGGTACACGCCATTCAGCCAACGAAACAGTCACTATATTGAAGGAAACTTTCGATTGACGGCTTGGAAGAAAATATTCGATGACAATATTGGGCCTTTCGGCTGGACTTTATTTAAAGAAAACGATTCTACTTGATTTGCTAACGAGCGGTGACTTTGCAACTAATTCGAATTAGTCGTCAATTAGTTCTAACCAAAAAATAGTTACATTATTGGATTTTTGAAAAAAAATTAGCGGTTTTATTTTTAATATTTTTGAACAAAATTTTTCTATACTAAAAATTATTTTTTTTTTTTATGTAGCTCCATAATACCATCGTTGTAGAGGTTCTATGGTTTATCGGCGAAGAACTTGGACAAATGATTTTCAGCGACTTTACGGTCGGCTAATATCTTACCAGTCATGGGGTTTTGACTAAAAGTCAGATGGTGCAATGTACATGCTATATGGTGGCTGCACCAAGCCTTGCCAACCAAGCTCCGTCAATTTTTGACTATTCAACAAATATCTATGTGGTCTGGTGTTGTCAGAATGAAACATAACTCCCGTTCTGGTGATCAATTCTGGAGAGTTTTTTGAAGAGCTTATTGTTTGCTTGTTAAGTGCTGACTGTCTGCTTCTCACTATAGCCATTTTTCTTCCAATCCCCCCATACTCTCAACATCAACTTGCTTACTGACAATTCAGGCTTTGAAATCAACTGAGGTGGATCAACGTCTCTTGACCATGAATTTTTTTGATTTTAATTTTGATCGTAGGCGATGAGTAGCTTCAGAAATAGCTTCAATGTTGCAGATCAAACGTGTTTTAAAACCTTTTAGTTGTTGGTCTGGCCTGGGCTCATATCTATGCTCGCCTTATGCTGGTTTTTATGTTAAGGGGTAAAGCCACTGTAGAGGTTGAAAAATAGACTGATTTTTTTAATTTATTGTGGGAATATGGGAAAAGGAATATAATTTTTATTTAACCATTTCATTGAGCATATATTGAAGTATAAAAAAAATATTAATTAATTATTATTATATTAGAAAATAGCGGTGATAAAGTCCATTATTTAATCCATGTTCTTTTCAAAAGACGTTCTTCGGAAAACAAATTTCTTCCAAAGGATGAGACCTAGAACAGAGCAAAAGCAGAATATTTTATAATCTATAAACTATGGTTTAACTAAGTTTTGTGAAAGCGGCACACTTTTTTTTTAAAAGATTTTTTTTTTTTTTTTTTGAATAAAAAATACGCATTAAATTAAATATTATTTAAAAAAAGCTTGTATTTAATCGAAAAACGGCTACGTACTTTCGAACAAATGTATTTGTGAAGCTGCCATCGAAATTTCAAATAAATCGTTTGCAATAGGGTTCGAATAATTTATCCTCCCAGTTTGAAAAATGTGATTCTGAGAAAAACGCGCGAGATCTGAGGAGCTGCAGCAAAATAAAAAATTCAGCTCTTTGAAATATTTTTTTTTACTTAAAAACCAATTGCTTATCATTTCTAGGACCAAAAAATACCCTGTGAGCAAAAAAAAAATAATAATTGAGTTTTCCAAAATCCCAGAGTGGCTTACCCCTTAAGGGGGGCAATCTGGTTTAGAGGGTCAAAAAAATCGATTTTTTGAAATTTATCTCATTCGATTAGAAATATAATCGTTCCGCAGAAATGGCCTCTGAGAGACAATGCGCTCAGGAGAAACTACCTCAGGAGACTGATAAGTGGGCGCGAGAACTTTGAACGCGATTTTCTCTTTTGTTTTTCTGTTTTGTGCACACGATTAAAAAAGTTGTAATTTTCGCATTTTCAGCTAATAGTGTAGACTTCTATGTGAAAAAAATTTTTTTTTATCAACTTTTTTCATTAAATTATCTTAAAACTTCTTCAGAAAAACGCAAAAATTTTTACAAACAGTCATAAAATAAATAACTTTATACATTTCTTCGAATATTTTAGGTTCACATAGAAGAGCAACTCCTAAGCTACAAAAAGTATTCGTTTTTATGTTTCAGATGAAAACTACGATCGCTATCGTGTTCACAAAATAGACTCTTCGAGCGAGAAGTGACATTTCAAGAGAGTAAGAATTTACCTGATATTTTGATACTACCGACTTAGTCGGCATTCCTCCATAGAGAGGTGAAGCCTTTTTCGAAGGGAAGGGAGGTATAGAGATAGCATTCTGCAGGTGCTAGATCAGGGCAGTATGGTTAAGGACGATCCGTGCACTCGCATACTTCTTTCGTCAGAATTACTCTCAAACGGAGGTGTTCCCTTCCAAACGAAATAGCGAATGACCCCGCGTATTTCGTACTTGGCTGCGGACTAGATTGACAATGCTCACGAAATGTTTTTTTGCGTCGACAGATCTCAACGTACTGACCGGTTCGTTGCAAATTTGTCATATAGGGCCAGATGGGACCACTATAGCATATATACAACCTATTTTCAGTTTCGATAATTTTGGTTATAAATTTGGCAAGCCAGCATCATTTCACCGAAAATCATCCATATCGGTGACGTACTTTATATAGCCTCCATACAACCGATTTGTTCAGATATGAGGTTTTGGGTTGAAAATCTGTCAAAAAATACCTAATAGTATGATATTTGGTAATAAACATTTGTGTCTACAAATAAACCTTTTCACTGAAAATAGTTGAAATCGGACAACTATATGATACGACCCCTCTAAAACCGATTTATCTCACATATGAGATTTTGGTTCAAAATCAGTCAAAACTCGTCATCGATTATTGCATTTTGTAATGAATTTGATAAGTTCGTGAAAGGAAAGATTTCGGCAAGGCATTCGAAGACCACACTGCTTTCATGCTTCTACTAAAAAATAATATATATGCACATTATGAACTAAAATAAAAAAAACCGATTTATCGGACAAATTATTCACATATTTATCCATCAAAATAATTTCTACTTATTGATTTTAATCACTAACACAAAGGAATTCTTTCTCTACTGATTTCCTCTTTACCCTTACGACGTCTTCAGCTGTAATACATATACTCACATATATATTCCTCACCCACTCCACTCCATAAGCACCAAAGTATAATAAATGACTCTCACCGAAATGGTAAATTAAAATCAAAATCAAATCGTAATTTATTTTACCGCAGAACAAAGTAGCATTTAACACAACAGGAGAGGAGAAGAAGGAAACGAGCATAAAGACACTGGACCACCGCAGGAAGACTCAATTTAATTTTGATTAAAATGTGCGCAAGCACACACACACACGCATGCACACTCCAGCAACATTATTAGACAGTGGAAAATGCAAATTTTCCCTTGTTTGGTAGCAAACGGTATTGAAAGCTAAATGAATGAGCGAGCATAAAATGACTGACCGTCAGAGCGTGCATATGTATATGTGGTGTTTTATTACCTTTACGAAACGAAGACGATATGGCGATAGTTAA